GCGGCCCGGGGGCGCCTCAGGCCGCTTCGGGCGCGGGAGCGGACCCGAGGTGCCGTCCCGGCCCCGCCGCCGAGCGCTCGGCTGCTTCTGCCCCGAGGACTTGTATCTTCCTGACTCGGTGGAGACCAGGGAACCGAGCAGGACGGCCGCACCATATTGCGGAGAGCCAGGTCCACGAATAGCTTACCAGCTTACCGTTAAAGTTTAAGTTAAGTGGCTTTCGCGCTCTAGGGTCTGTAGAGCGAGGCGCCCTTGCGTTGTAACTAAATGTCCCCCTGCGGGGCTCGCAATATCCGTTTGTATTTTGAGAATACAGCCGTGGTGTCAGGTTGTGCATGACTAAGAGGTGAACGCGTGTCCATCCCGAGATCGCAAAACTTAGACGGCTTTAATATTCACTCAACAAGCCGGGCGTGGTGGTGCACGCCTGTAATCCTCAGCACTCAGGAGGCTGAGGCAGGAAGATCCCTGCGAGTTCGAGACCAGCCTGGGCTACAAAGTGAGCTCAAGGCCAGCCTGAACTGCATAGTGAGACCCTGTCTCAAAAAGCCCCCCCGCCCCAAAAATAATAATAATAATGTTCACTAAACAAAAACTATTACTTCTTGGATAAGAATATAGCAGAGAAGTTAGTTTTTCCCAGATTGAGTTGTTGTTTCAAGAATAAAACTCAGTGGGCCGGGGATATAGCTCAGTGGCATAAATGCCTGCCTGGCAAGCGCAAGTTCCTGAGTTCGATCCCCGGTACCGGGGGGTGGGGCGGTGGCGCAAGGTATAAAACTCAGCCTGTTTTTCAAAAGTCTGGGAGTTACTTAGGCAGAATTTTTTACTGCCTGTTGTCAGTTCATGTGACGCCAGATAATAGTTGCTAATTCCCAAAAGATGTGGTTGTCTGATGGCTTGGTAAGATCTGTAGGGATTTGGTGGTAATTCTTATTTCAACTACAGTGAAATAGTGTAAAATTTTTATTTGCATAGCACTCGAGCCAGGAATTAGCATTCAGAGAGCATTACTAATAAGCGTTACAGCTAAACGACTTTTCCCAACACGTAATGCACTTAGGGAAGGAATGTGGACTTCCTGTGTCCTTTATGTGACTTGACTGTGAGAAAGGAGTTCTCTCTACCATTGCTTTGCGCAGAATTGACAGTGCAAGGTCTTTGACACGAGGCTGGAGTTTGGTTAAGGTGTTGAAAGGCGATTTTTACATCAGACACTAACAGTACCGCAGTTTTTTGACGTTGAGTTCTCTGTGGTATTGAGAGTCTGGGGAAAAAGACACTGAAGTTTAGTATCAGAAGACTTGGGTTTGTTTTCTACTTCAGTACTTGTTAAGCATTTTTCTTCGAGCAAGTCGTTCAATATTTGTTCCTTGGTGGCCTGATAATTGATAGCTTCGCTGTGCTTCTTCATAGTACCTTATATTGTAATTATTTACTTACTAGTTTTTTTCTGCCTTGTACTTAATTCCTCAGGTAAGAATCTTCTTGCTTCAGCAGAGCTTAGTACATAGCATTTACTGAAAAAATTGTTTAGCACATTAAGTTAAAAATGTTTGTGTGGCTTAAAATGTTTTCACATGTATTTTGTTTCATTAAACCCTCAACAAACCTGGGCGGTACCTGGCACAGACTAGAAACCAGAGCTCAAAGAGGATGGCTTTCCCAAGCAGCCGCAGTTGGAAAGTGGGAGACTGGAGCCCCAGTTCAGTGCTGCTCCCAGAGTTCACCGTGCTACTCGCCTGGCTCAGCACTTGAGGGCCAGATACAGATGCTGTGAAAATGGTAGAAAAGACTGAGTAATCGCAGTGTGGTTTCTGTTTTCCTGAGAAAAACAGAAAAATAATTAAGAGCAGGTTTTTTTTAATGTTACTTACATTTTTAAGATGATGCATTCAAAATCTATCAGCCAGTATGCAGATTCTTTCTGATAGGGATTCTTTTGTAGTTACTGGATACCTTCTGCCCTTACTCTGAATAGCATACCATCAACAGTATTCCATGACTTACGTGTTGCAAAAAGACTCATGCAAAGAAGTAGTATTCATATCTCCTTTCAGGGATGTTGTACCCTGTTCTGTGTTCTTTAAATGTCAAACTCAGCCTTGCCTCCTCAAAAGCATCACCTTTGCTGTTTGTAGAAACTTGGTAATTAAATATGTTTAGCATCTGTTAAATCTCTTAACACTCTTCCACACATGTCCACAACATGGTTTATTTTGCTATTCAGTTTGGAACTCTTTTAGCTCTCAAATACAGGTACTATGTATTCAGATATTTGACAGCAGTTGCTGTCCCACCCCTGGTAAAGCCCTGCTTAAAAATGAAACAACCAGCTCAGCTTTCCCTTAGTGTGCAATTCTGGCCATTGAGTGTCTGTTCCCCTTTGCTGAATCTCTGCTTTGTCAGGCTACAAGTGCAATCTCCACCACATACATTGCTTTCTATTAAACAGGATAGATTAGTACTAACAGTTTGCACAAATTTGTGGTATGTACTTCAGTGCTGAGTATGTACGCTAATGTTGCTTTTTGTACGTTTCTGATTGTAACATTTATAAATAATATTCAGGGGGAAAATCCTCATTTATATGAGCAAAGACTCTGGATCCAAACCTGATGAGTATGAAAGAGCATGAGTATATGAAAGAGCAAGTTGTTTAACCTGTGCCTCAATTTATTTATAAAATGGGGAGATGTGGAAAGTGGTATCTGAAGGACATAGGAAGTAACCAGGTCATGCAGCACTCCTAGTTAATAAAAGAAGTAGAAGTCCTGCATTCGTCTTCCCATTGGGCAGAAGCTGCGTGTGGATGCCAAGTAGAAGTCCTTAAGCTGCACTTCAGTGGAGTCTTGGTGTCCCCATGCTGTATGTACACGGTCTACTTCTCACCCACCCCAAGACTGGGAATCAAACCCAGGGGTGGTCTGCCACTAAGCAGTGTCCCCAGTCCATTTTATTTTATTTTACTTTACTTTTGAGACAAGGTCTCTCTGACTTGCCTGTTCAGAACTCGAACTTGCAGTCCTCCTGCCTTAATGTCTCCCAGTGCTGGAATTACAACCATATGCCGCTGTACCCAGTGTAGATGATGTGCTTCTAAGGTTGGCTATTAGACTCACCATGTAGCCCAAGCTAGCCTCGAACTCTTAGCAATCCTCCTGCCTCAGCCTCCTGTGCTGAGATTACAGGTTTGCCCCACTACACCCAGCTCTATGACTGCCTTTAGGTCCTGTCTTCTGACCTCTAACAACAATAAATAGGTTAAGGTTAATAGAAAACTATGAAAATCATCAGCCATGATTAGTCTGAGTACTTCCTTTTAAAAATATACTTCATGTTATGATTTCCAGCTTAGGGGTCATAAAAGGAGTGTTCCCCCTAGGTTGAATGGATCAGAGGGAATACTTTTAAATATCTTTAAGTCCTGGAGGTTAAGAGAAGTTTGAACTCTTTAGAAAGGAAGATTTATAAAGCTGTTTTTAAGATTAAGTATATCTATTCAACAAAATAAAAATAGAGCAATAGAGTACTTACCTAGAATGCTCTAGACCCTGAGTTCAGTGGCTAGCACCCC